TTAAGTTTTGATATAGGTAATAAAAAATATATGGATTCTCTTCAGATTATGCCAGGAAGTCTCGATTCCCATATATCTAACTTAGGAGTTAAACCATGCAAAGAAGAAATAGATGAAAGTGGTAAAAAGAAAGTATGTATGAAATCTGAACATCTTTATAGAATTGATGAAGATAGATGTTTTGCTCATTCAGAAAGATTTCTAATGATACAAGTTTATGTTCCTAAAGATAGACCTGACTTAATATTTCATAAAGATATATTCTGTTAGGATTATTTTAATGGTTCAGAATGAATGAATGAGACTTCATTATCTCCAATTAAAGCATTTAATAGTATTCTCAACAAATCTATATATTCTTCTGAAGATTATAAGAGAGCTCAAGAAGTATGGAAAACATTTAATATGAAGACATTCCAAGATTATCATGATTTATATTTTAAACTTGATGTATTATTGTTAGCAGATGTCTTTGAAGCCAATCAAAAAATGTTAAAAGCTAAGTTTGGGCTTGATATAGTTCAATATATATCTCTTTCTTCATTTGCTAAAGATGCATTATACAAAACATCAAAACAAGAAATCGAACTATTTACTGATGATAACAAATATCTATTTTGTGAAAAAGGAATTAGAGAAAATATTTCCATGGCAAGTAATCATCAAGTAGTAGCCAACAATCCAAAATGTCCTGTATATAATCCAAATAAACCAACTACATGGCTTTTATATATCGATTCCAATGGGTTATATACTGGATCAATGATGCAATCTATGCCAACAGAAGGTCATAGGTATTTAGAAGAAAAAGAAATTCCAGAACTTTATAATAAACTTATCAATTGTAAAATTCCAGATGACGCATCCAAAGGTTATATGGTTGAAGTAGATATGGAATATCCATATAAATTACATAAAGATCATACTTTATATTCTCTTGCTCCAGAAAATCTCGAGATTCCAAAAGAAGAGAAGTCCAAATATTGTCAAGATCTTATCAATGATTTTAAACATTTTACAAAGACCAAAAAACTTGTTCCTAATCTCTATAATAAGAAAAATTATATAGTACATTATCGAGCTTTACAATGTTATATAAAACTAGGAATAAAGCTTACCAAAATTCATCGAGCCATAGAATTTAACCAAAGTCAATGGATGAAACCATTTATGGAGGAGTTAGCTAGATCTAGAGCTTTAGCTACAAATGATTTTGAGAAAAATATGTATAAGCTTCTGGTAATGCAAATTATGGAAAGACTGTAGAAAATGTTCGCAATTATCAGAGAATAGATTTTGTTAGACCTAATTCTGAAGCAAAAAAGTTCAAGCGTCTTGTAGCTGATACAACTTATAAATCTCACAGAATCTTAGCTGAAAACCTAGTAGGTATTAATCGTCATCAATCCAATACTAAACTATGTAAACCAATATTTATTGGAATGAGTGTACTAGATGAAAGTAAGATTACAATGTATAATTTCTATTATAATATATTGAAAGCACGATATGGAAATAAAGTTGAACTAGTATATACTGATACTGATTCTTTTATCCTACTTATTCAAACTCCTGGTTTATATAAGGACATGGCGGAGATGCATGAACATTTTGACTTTAGTAATTATCCAGCTGATCATGAATTGGTTAAAAATTTACCAGAAGATGCATGGAAAAAGAATAATAAAGTTCCAGGTAAGTATAAAGATGAATGTGGGGGTAAAGCTATGTGGAAAATTACTGCTCTTCGTCCCAAATTATATCGTTGATTTTTAGATGAACTACTCTCTCCATTTGCCCTACATAAAAATCAATTTCACTAACATCTTTATAAAGACGCTTAAAAACGCTTATTATAAGACAATATTATAGAACATACCACACAAGTTGCATGGACTCAATACGGAAAATTTCCTCCAAAATTACATGACAAGTTCTGTGGACATAAGTGTCTTCGTTTGATAAATTCTTGTTTTTACCATATGGTAAATTGTAAAAGCTACACAATATCATATATGGTATCATAAATATATACAGGTAAATTAGTGTCAAAATATTTTGTCTACTTACAAATTACGTGTTATGATCTGCATTGAGTCGAATATCCTTTTATCATCTTGATCTTCCAATAAAGACACTTTACTCCAGTTTAGTCTCCACAAGTTTTCAAATTCCACCAAATCACCCCTCATTAAAGGCTTATTATAAAACACGTAATCAGTATATTAAATCAATATAGCATTGAATTTATATCTGTATATATTTACCTGCGTATATGAACATACAGTGACTTGAATAAGGGCTGGCATCTTGAATCTATAGGTAATGTGTGGAAACGCCACTCGCCACTCATTGTCAGTACACGAAACATAAGCCGGTTTTTTGTTTTTTCTTAATATCATTATGCTTGATAAAGTACTATTATAAGTATAAATGATGTGGTGAACATCCTATTAAAAAAAGTTAAAAAATACAACAATTTTGCTGGATTAGGTACCTACATTATGGATTCAATATCAGTTGCATAGCTTAAAGTTAGATCAGTTTTTAATTTTTCGATAATCGACTTCTGAAATTTCCGAAAATCAACTGAAAAAATTGTGTCCGTTATTAATCCACTATTCAATACAAATATAAAAAGATGATTTAGTAAAAATACAATATGCAGGTTCATCATTTTCAAAACATTTGTGAACATACATCCTTCATGGAATTTTCTTTTATTTCCATTTTTTGGATTACATGGTTCCATGTGAAAATTTGTTTGGAGCTAGTTTCGATGTTGAATGAAGAGGAGCTAGTTTCGATGTTTAATGAAGAGGAGCTAGTTTCGATGTTGAATG